AGTAAACGGGCTTTATCGTTCGACTTTACACTAGAAGTTCCTGGAGAACTTCCTAATGGGAGGGCTTTACCTCTCTGCCGAGAAGGATTTACCTCTCTGCCGAGAGGGATATACCTCTCGGTCTTCAACATCCTCGAGAGGGATTTACCTCTCGGCCGAGAGGTATTTACCTCTTGGTCTTTGAGCTAGGAGATCTTCTTAGTAAGCGGGCTTTATCGTTCGACTTTATACTAGGAGTTCCTGGAAACATCATAATGGGAGGGTTTTACCTCTCTGCCGAGAGGGATTTACCTCTCGGTCTTCAACATATTCAAGAGGGATTTACCTCTCGGCCGAGAGGTATTTACCTCTCAGTCTTTGGTCTAGGAGTTCTTCCTAGTGAATGGACTTTAACGTTCGGCTTTACACTAGGAGTTCCTGGGGAACTTCCTAATGGGAGGGTTTTACCTCTCTGTCGAGATGAATTTACCGCTCGGTCTTTGAGCTAGGAGTTCTTCCTAGTGAATGGACTTTACCGTTCGGCTTTACACTAGGAGTTCCTGGAGAACTTCCTAATGGGAGGGCTTTACCTCTTTACCGAGAAGGATTTATCTCTCGATCTTCAACATCCTCGAGAGGGATTTACCTCTCGGCCGAGAGGTATTTACCTCTTGGTCTTTGAGCTAGGAGATCTTCTTAGTAAGCGGGCTTTATCGTTCGACTTTATACTAGGAGTTCCTGGAAACATCATAATGGGAGGGTTTTACCTCTCTGCCGAGAGGGATTTACCTCTCGGTCTTCAACATATTCAAGAGGGATTTACCTCTCAGTCTTTGGTCTAGGAGTTCTTCCTAGTGAATGGACTTTAACGTTCGGCTTTACACTAGGAGTTCCTGGGGAACTTCCTAATGGGAGGGTTTTACCTCTCTGTCGAGAGGGATTTATTTCTCAGTCTTCAACATCCTCGAGAGGGATTTACCTCTCGACCGAGAGGTATTTACCTCTCGGTCTTTGAGCTAGGAGTTCTTCTTAGTGAACGGGTTTTACCGTTCGACTTTGGGACGTTGACCTAGGAGTTCTTCCTAGGGAACGGACTTTACCGTTCGGCTTTGCACTAGGAGTTCCTGGAGAACTTTCTAGTGAGAGGGCTTTACCTCTCGATGTTATGACTTTGACCTAGGAGTTCTTCCTAGGGAACGAGCTTTATCGTTCGACTTTGCACTAGGAGTTCCTGAAGAACTTCCTAGTGATAGGACTTTACCTCTTGGCGTTGTGATTTGCAGGATCCTATCACCTGCACTGAAGAAATATAACAACTCGAATTTTACATGGTGAGAAAAATAGTAGCCTAACAAACTATTGCATTAATGTCAAAATAAGTTGTTATAAGGTTGGTCGGCCAAGCAAAGAAGAGCGTTCGGTCTTTTGTTGAATGTTTAACGGTCAACGACGAGGAATTCATATTAAGATGTCTTGAATGAACTGTGGGTGCATTATGCTTTGTGACTGAACGGGAGAGAGAGAAAGACCAAGGTCTACTCGAGCTATACCCTAAGGCCATGGAAGGTCGAGCGGTTATGAGGCCGAATGGCCGAGTGACCTGATGCTTGAACACTCGAGGTCATGAAGGCCGAGCAGTTGAGGCCGAAGGGCCGAATACTTGTATGGCCGAATGGCCGAATACATGTGAGGTCGAATGGCCGAGGACCTTTAAGGTTGAATGGCCGAATACGTGCGAGGCCGAATGACTAAATACTTGAGATCGAATGACCGATTACCGATTACCTGTATGGCTAAATGGTCGAGTACGTGCGAGGTCGAATGGCCAAATACCTGAAATCGAATTACTGATTACCTGTATGGCTGAATGACCGAATGTCTATGAAATCGAATGATTGTAAATTCGTAAAAGCTTGTTGACGTTGATGGTTTCTTCTATAGTATCAATATGTAGGAGTGTGGTTGACATGACGATGATGAGAGTGTGCCCTCATTTGGTTCCTTGTAATTTTAAAGAATGTCCCTCGAGCCCACGTTACTAGATATTGCAGTAGACGTTAAATTTGTTAATTTTATAATAATTATAGTGAAGCTAATGAAATTGAGAGAATATTTTTTATACTGAATATAATGAAAACATAAGCTTATTTTTTAAAACTGAGAAGAGATTAACTAGAGAAATACTGTGTATAATTAATACGGAGTACTTGAAAAGTAGAAAAAAAAAATATTCTTTCAACTTGTTTGGACATTTATGGTGCAAAAAGATCATAGTCGCAGAAGTGCTCGGTGAACCACGCAAGTGGAATTTACCTTTTTCAGAAACCAAAGAAGAAAAGGAGAGGCAGACGGAACAAAAACATCAAAAATTAAAAACAGAAAAAAAAAGATGTGTATGAAAATGAGTGGTATCTGTTCTCAAAACGACAGAACAAGAAACATAAAAAGGACAGCTTTGATGGAAAGAAAAAAGAAAAAACCATAATCCGAACCTGAACAGAAGTGATTTCAGAACGGTTCGAAGTGGCAATGGCAGCAAAATCTTTGGGCGTCGGTGTGTCTCTGAGTCACCTCGTCGGTTCCAAGTCGCCACCTAGGCTTTGCGTCTTATCTATCAGATGCTTTGCTAGTAACCCTTCTTCATTTCTCTTCCATTTTCTTTACCGATAAACCAATTTCTTGTGCCATGATTTTTATTCGAAGCCATTTTTCCTTTTGGTAGTTTATGATTTGGTTGCACTTGAAAGTGAACACACTTTTTGCGTATACATGGGGCTTGAAGAAATTGATCAATTTTATTAATTTTTTTTTGGGGGATTGAAATGTAGAGAATGGCGAAAGACCTTGGAAAACTTCGGATGCTAGGCTTGTGTTAGAAGATGGATCAATCTGGAAAGCAAAGTCGTTTGGTGCTTCTGGAACCCAAGTGGGTGAAGTGGTTTTTAATACATCATTGACTGGGTGAGATGAGATGAATTATTGATCATACATCCATTAGGCCTGAATATGGATATATATGGATGTTTAAAGTTAACTTTTTTAAATATACTGCAGGTATCAAGAAATTCTAACAGATCCTAGTTATGCTGGTCAATTTGTGCTGATGACAAACCCGCATATTGGTAATACCGGTGTAAATTTTGGTGAGTATTTAAATTCAAGTCTCTTGAATCTTGGTTCTTGGAAGTTGTCTAAAACTTTCCTTTTGATGCTCTGACTGCCAGATGATGAGGAATCAAGAAAGTGCTTCCTTGCTGGTCTAGTAATTAGAAGTTTAAGTATCAGGTTAATTTACATGGTCCAGAAAAGATTTTCACTGATTGAACTTCACTTTTTACTATGCTTACTTCTTGTTTGTCCTTGTAATAAATCTATGTAGTACCTCAAGCTGGAGATGTGTAGAAACACTAGGTGATTACTTATCAGAAAGGAATATCATGGGAATTTGTAAGTAATCTATACGAATGTATAAACCCTGCAAGTGTTACTTCGATAAATTCCTTTGTAGCTTAAGGTTTTGGCTTTAACTTTGGTGATACTTTGTGATGCAACAGATGATGTTGACACACGGGCTATCACACGCAGATTACGGCAAGATGGCAGCCTCATTGGTGTGTTGAGTACTGACAATTCTATAACAGATGAGGAACTACTTAAGATGTCTCGTTCTTGGGACATTGTTGGTAAGAATATGAATCTGAGACTCTAAAAACATCTTAGATGTGGAAGCGTGTGACTGTTGTTTCATTTTTCAGGTATTGATTTAATAAGTGGAGTATCATGTGAAACTGTGCATGAATGGGTTGATAAAACAAAGCAAGAATGGGATTTTAGTTCAAGAGGGAGTGGAGAGACTTTCCATGTAAGTGTTAGAAAGAAGCATTCTTTAGGCACTTTCTCATTCCTTTTGCTACCCCAAAGCATGCATTGATTTATATATAATGTGGTGAATGAATCACAGGTTGTTGCTTATGATTTTGGAATCAAGCATAATATACTTAAGCGCTTGGCGTCTTATGGCTGTAAAATCACTGTTGTACCATCGACTTGGCCAGCAACAGAAACTTTGAAGATGAATCCTGATGGGGTGCTCTTCAGCAATGGCCCTGGAGATCCATCTGCTGTTCCTTATGCGGTGGAGACAGTAAAGAAAATTCTGGGAAAGGTGCCTGTATTTGGAATTTGCATGGGCCATCAATTGCTAGGTCAGGCTTTAGGAGGAAAAACCTTTAAGATGAAATTCGGTCATCATGGAGGGAATCATCCTGTTCGTAACCTTCGAACAGGTCATGTTGAAATTAGTGCTCAGGTATGCGATCTAATGAACTTTCTACCCTAATTCCGTGAACCTTATAGTAACATTTGATCTGAAAAAAATGGCAGAACCACAACTATGCCGTTGACCCTGCCACATTGCCAGAAGGAGTGGAAGTTACACATGTTAATCTTAATGACGGAAGTTGCGCAGGCCTTGCTTTCCCTGCTCAAAGACTAATGTCTCTTCAATACCATCCAGAAGCCTCCCCAGGACCCCATGATTCTGATTACGGTATGAAACATAAACTGCTGCTATTATTATTTCACTTACATTCGTTACAAATCTTATGAAATATCAAACACTGCTATTATTGTTGTTCATCATGCAGCTTTCAGGGAGTTTACGGAATTAATGAAGCAGCAGAAGACCAAGAAATCTGAACCCAAACCATCTACAGTATCTGATGCATAACCATTAAAGACAATTGATAATCAGCTCTCAAGAAACAAGTTTTAGTATATTAGTTAAGGTATGTTCAATTATTTACCCTCTAGGAGGGTGAATTAGCTTTCATGTACTCTGCTTCTGATTCAAGACCGAAGATTGTGTAATTATTTTAAACCAATAAAACAATGAGAAACAATTTTTACTCTGCCATCGACTGATAGCATAGAGAGAACCAGCAATTTGTTTTAATTCTTGCGACAAAAATTACTCAGAACAGAGAATTATACTTGGAATAAAACTAAAATTCGAAAATGCAAGAGACAAATATTTGAAAATCAAAATTATCTGACATGATTAAGTACACAAGGGTGTGTCATTGGAAGAAGTCACCAACTCCAGATTCTAAGATGCACACATAAAAACTACGAAGGACTGAAGAAAAACACACAAACCCTAAAACCAAAAAAAAAAACCGCGAGGTTTAAAACTAAGCCCTTTCGCCTCTGATTCTTCGAGCAAGTTGAATGTCCTTAGGCATGATGGTGACCCTCTTAGCATGAATAGCGCAGAGGTTAGTGTCTTCAAAGAGTCCGACCAGGTAAGCCTCAGCCGCTTCCTGAAGAGCCGAAACCGCACTGCTCTGGAACCTCAGATCAGTTTTGAAGTCCTGAGCGATTTCACGAACTAAACGCTGAAAGGGGAGCTTTCGGATCAGAAGCTCTGTGCTCTTCTGGTACTTCCTGATTTCCCTCAGAGCCACGGTTCCTGGCCTGAACCTGTGGGGCTTCTTCACTCCGCCGGTTGCCGGGGCAGACTTCCGAGCAGCCTTTGTGGCTAGCTGCTTCCGGGGAGCCTTGCCGCCGGTGGACTTGCGAGCCGTTTGCTTGGTACGGGCCATTTGGAAGTTCTGGAAGGGTTATGTATTGGTTAGTAGAAGAGCTGAGAAGCTTGCAAACGACTCTGATATGAATGAAGAAGCAGAGGGGGTTCAATTATATAGCTGAGACTCTCAAATTTTGGAGGGAGGAATTTTGCATTTAAGCGCTTTGGATTTGTAGTGATCCGTGTGCGACTGGATCCAACGGTCAACATTCCGTCTTGACGTATCACGCGGATTCATGATTTCCATTTTTTAGCTTTCCTTTTAGGCTTTTTTGCTCGAGAAGTATTATCGAGTTTTCGGGTTCCTTGGGAATATCGGTCCCTTTACTTTGGTAAAAAGGATTTTACTTTAGCCCGTAAAATTATTGAAATCTTAACTTTAAGCTGGTTTAAATAAAATTCTCGAGTATTTTAATTTGTCTATGGTATAGGATACATATTTTTCTACATAACGGGCAGATATTTGAAATATTATATTAAATATATAATAATTAATTTCAATTAGACTATAAAGTTTTTTGTTAATTAATAATCTATTTAGTTTAATGTTTTTATATGTAAACAATATATCAAAAGGATAAATGGTTAAGAAAACAAAAGATAGATAATAATAAATAAAAATTGGTTTCAAAGGACTGTAAGAATAAAAAATTACTGAGTTTCAAAAGAAAAAATATTAAAAAATACAAAAACTTTATATTATGTTATATATATATATATATATATATATATATATATATATATATATATATAGTTAACTACAGAATGTTTGACAGAAGAGAGAAAAAATTATATTCAAAATTCTTAAAAATCGTAAATCCCCAAATTTTAATACTTCTAAAAGACAAAGTTATGTACTATTATTACAAAAATATTTATGTTACTGTTATTACGGAATTTTTATTTTGTTTTTAATTTTAATTATTTTATAAAAGTAAACTCGTATTTTGTTCATGGGAACTTTTATTCGAACTAGACAAGATTAATTTTCTAAATATTAAGCTTTTGACGAAACTTAATCAAAATTTACTCTAGAAAAAATATTGATTACTGATAAATGTTTAAAATAATTTTTGTATTCAAGACATTTTTTTTTGTTGGCATGAGTGATTAATCTCATAAAATTAGGAACATTTATTGTAATTGTTGTCAAATCGCGTATATTAAAGGATACACTTATGTTTAGCCAGGAGCATAATGAATGGGCTAGAAAAGCTCCTAAAATTCCTCTTCCCTATATATATTTATACTCTGTAAATGAGTCAATAAAAATACTAAGGTGAATAAAATACCTTCTGTTTTAACATGGTATCAAGAGCATAATCTTGAGACCCAAACAGCTCTAAATAGATGGGTGATTCATCCGAAATGGGAGATTCTTCAGCGAATGGCGATTCCACGGTGCGGCCATCAAACGCTTCTGCTGCCGAGTCCATTTGGGAAAATTTTACGGCCAAAAGGACGGAGGCTTTATCAAAAGCACAACTCACATCACAATCGTCAATCTCTGATTCTTCAATAGTACCGATCAACATCAAGTTGGATGGTTCCAACTATGCCCTATGGTCTCAGGTGGCTGAGATGTAGATCTCAGGCAAAGACAAACTGGGATATATTGATGGATCTTTTCCTCCGCCATCGAAAACTGATTTCGCATTCCGTAAATGGCGAACTGAGAAGCAATAGTGAAAGGATGGTTGATCAACTCAATGGATCCTTCACTGGTGGGGAATTTCATCCACTTTCCAACCGCTAAAGAGGTGTGGGATGACATTGGTATGACATACTTTGATGGATCTAATACATTACAAGTTTATAACCTTCGACGGAAGGTAACCCGGATGTGGCAGAAGGGGGGATTGATTGAAAAATATTATAATGATCTATAAGGGTTGTGGCGTGAGATAGATTTTCGACGTCCTAATCCCATGGAATGCGCGAGAGATATACAAAAATACAATGCTTTGCTACAGGAGGAAAGAGTTTATATCTTTCTCGATGGATTGGACGACCGACTTGATAAGATTCGAAGTGACATACTCCAACTGAAGCCATTTCCCACGATCGAGCAGGCTTATGCATATGTTCGAAGAGAGGACACTCGTCAGATCGTGATGACATATGGGGTAGAGAATATAACAAGTGGTGAGGTTATGGCCACTAAAGGCTCAAAAGTTGGTCAACAGCCAACACTAGTGGCTGGGAAACACAACTTCATCTTGAAGTCAAAAGGTCCATTTGATGGAGGAAAGTGTACACATTGTGGAAACGCTAGACACGCTCGTGATACTTGTTTCAAGTTACATGAGTATCCAGAATGGTGGCATGAGTTGCAAGCTAAGAAGAAAAAAGAAACCACTTCACTAGAGGAAGGCACTGGTAAAGTTGCGGTAGTCACTGCCGAGTCTTAATTGTCGCTTATTCTTATGACCAGCTCCTCCGTCTCAATGGAACTAGGTAACTGCGGTCAAGTTTTTTGTAGTTCTAAGTCTCAGGATGCAAGTGCATGGATTATTGACTCTGGGGCAACAGACCATATAACTTTTGATCCCACGGGCTTCTCCCATGCAACCCCACCACGTAGGACTTGCATTGCAAATACAAATGGAGTTACATACCCGGTCACAAGTGGAGTTATATGATGCCATTTATATACAAATTCATGCCCAAGGAACCATATTTAGTAAAACTCATGGTAGAAAAACAACATTAGTAACAAAGGCAAAATAAGTGGATACTTCAGGTAAAATTTTTGCACAGACAGGTCAACTACGAAGATGACACTCATTTTGGAGTGCCTAATTAATTTCTCATAATTTTTTCAACTTATAAGTGATGTGGAAACAATTATGATGCCATTTTTATAGAATTTCATGGCCAAGGAACCATATTTAGTAAAACTCATGGTGCAGAAACAACACTGGTAGCAAAGGCAAAATAAGTGGGTACTTCAGGCAAAGTTTTTGCACAAACAGGTCAACTATGAATATGACACTCATTTTGGACTGCCTAATTAATTTCTCATAATTTTTTCAACTTATAAGTGATGTGGAAACAATTATGATGTCATTTTTATAGAATTTCATGGCCAAGGAACCATATTTAGTAAAACTCATGGTGTAGAAACAACACTGGTAGCAAAGGCATAATAAGTAGGTACTTCAGGCAAAGCTTTTGCACAAACAGGTCAACTACGAAGATGACACTCATTTTGGAGTGCCTAATTTATTTCTCATCATTTTTTCAACTTATAAGTGATGTGAAAACAATTATTATTTTAGGCAAATGTATTTTCTTTAAACTTAATGGACATTCAACTCATGTTGACGCATTCATTGCCCATTAACCCAATTTTTTTTCATCATTCTTTCTACATAGAACCTTATACGTACAAGATTTCATAAATAATTGCATCCAAATTTAGTAGGAAATGCAGTGCAAACATTTTAAACATTGATCATTCTGATCTTCAAACACCCCTTACAAAGTTTTTGTGACAATTTTTTCTCTAATATTAATTTTATATTTTCAGGTATAACAAGTTGAAAGAGCACTATATCAAATCCAATTTTTAAACAATTTAAGATAGGATATTTTAAATCTATTTAAATTGATAATAAAAAACTATAATTACAAATTGTAAGTTTTTAAACAAAAGTAAAAACACTTTTGAAAAAAAAAATTGGTTAAGGTTAAGTTACAACAAATTTAAAAATTTGTATCCAGATTTGATAATTATAACTACTATGAAAACAAAATTTGAATATAATATATTAGATAACTAAGAAAATTCAATATTTTACCAAAATAGAAAAGATAAACAAGACGTATAAGAAGTGTCCATACAGTGTATTTTAGATATTTAAGATATTTTAGTGAGTAAATAAAAAAATCAAAAATTTTTATATAATTCCACAAAGCCTCAACGCTTAATGATAATTAATTATTACACATTACTTTGTAGTCCATTACATATATAAATATATGTACCCACAAAAACTAATCACTAAAAGGACAAAGATTGTAAGCTATATCAAGAACATGGTACATCTATAGTTGAAAATTTCTACTACAAAAATGATTCTAAGACCTCATTTATTAGATTAATTTTTGCTGCAACAGGACTGTAATACGAGTGTTGATCCATGAAACAAAGAATTCAGTGCCTGACAATCATTAATTAACCAGCACTGGCTCAGTTCTTCTCAGCCTCATTCTGAAGCACTTTGAACAGCTCGTTATATGGCAGGTGTAGTTTTCAAAACTCTGATTAATAATCTGAGATTCAGAGAGCAATACTTAAGATTACCAATAACAGAAGAACCCACAATAATATGAGCACACAATATTGGTAGAGTTTCCTACATAAAGTTCGCAATAAAACTACTTACCAAGCATGAGAGACAACGTCAAATCAAAACATTGATAAATTCAGTAGGACTTGAGTTTCAAACTTGATTTATTGGTAGAGTTCAGAGAAAAAATAAATAAAATAAATAATAAGCCAAGTGAATAAATAAACAAAGCCAATATCCTGAGAACAATGACTGCTTGATGAAGTTAAAGAAGTTAAAGAAGTTAAAGAAGACATTGCATCTCTATTAAATCATTATGGGCACTGTTGATAATAAATCCAGTATGACCACTGGGTTAATTTTCTATATCTTATATCATATACAAGCAACCTTCATAATCCAATAAATCATGTTTGTATTCATGATTAATTACCAATTATGTTTTCAGGCAAAATATCTAGAAGAAATATTTTTCAATAACATATTATACCAATAGCAACATGTAACCTTCAAATAGAATATCAACAGAGAAAAAAAATGCCTTCATAGCAATATACAAATTATTATCATAAACATTTTCACTAAAAACGTTCAAAGCTTATTAAGTTTTTACAACAAATCAGTACCTGATTGTACCTCTCTTTTTTAAGTTTTTACAACAAATCAGTACCTGATTGTACCTCTCTTTTTTCCTTTCGGCCTGCGCAATAAAATCTTTAGTAAGAGATTAGAGGGTAAAAATACATAATAAACTCTAAAGCTAAAAAGCCTAATGGACAACAAAAAATGAGACACACAAAAGTGACGCTACAAACTACCGGCGACACTCTGGCGGACTGCAAATTATGACAACGGAAAGCGACGCTTCTGGGAAGAGGCACGAAAATGGTTGGGTGGGAGGAAGGCGCACGAACGTTGATACTGCGGAACAGCAAAAACGCGTCTTTTTCAGTGGCCGTTGCAATCAAAGCTTTGAACGATGTCGGTCACCGGAACAGACAATACTTCCTCAGGCGGCACTCCGGCGAACAACGAAAATGGGTGGATGGGAGGAAGTGGCACTCTCTCTAGGAACGACGACACTCCCGACAATGGGTGACTAGATGGGAGGAAGCGACACTCTCTCTACGAACGACGGCACTACAACGACACTTCGATATCAGTGGGTGGAGAAAAGATGGTACTTTCTTTAGGTTTCGCGCGCTCTCTCTAAGCTTCGGTTCTCTCTCTAACCAAGTCTCATATTCAAAATCTAAATTGTGAAAATGAACCCCAAATGAACCAAACCTCATATTCAAAAGTCTGCCCCAAATTTGTTTCCATGTCATTATTCTTTTTAGATATTGATTTCATGGGCACTGCTCACATTTAAACACTGTGTCCCATATCTAAATATTGTTAAAAAGTTGTTGTTCAAGTATCATTTTCCAAACAAATATTCCTCGTAAATATTGTAGAGATAAAACGTCTATTCTCAGTATGTGTCATACGCTTCCCATGTAAACTGTAGCATCTTGCACCATCAAAGGCAAAATTAGCGTCTGATTATGCTCTGTAAACGAGTTTTCAGCAATGAATGTAACTTGTTCTTTAATCGGGGAGGTTTTAAAGTATGATTCAGTATAATGTATATTTTTAAATTATATCCAAGAACACAAGGTGAACAACATACTGCAAAATGAAAAAAAAAGAAAGATAAGTTTTGATATCTGTCCCTGGAGTTCTGATTTGGAAACAAGAGAACAAAATAATCAGTAAAGTTATGAATTTTAAAAAGAAACAAAGAAGGCATTTGGAGTGGCTTCATGTAAACGAAAGAGGCGAGTAAGATTTAGTTTCTAATATTTTTACAACAAACAGAGATTATCATAAACTGCAGCAATGATAATATTAAGAATAATACAGAAAATTATGGGGCATTGTCAAGGAGAAGCTTGACACGGGAAAATGTTGTCCATTTCACCATTTCCAGAAAACATTAGAACCACACTTGTATTTGTCCTTTCCTTCACATTCTAGCTCCAAATCATCAGAAAGAAAAGGCACTTTCTGCGTTCATCAAAGGAAACCAGAGTAAAATTTTGAATCAGTGTTTGATAAAGATCACAGTAAAAGAAAAAAGTTAAAAATTGTTTTCTATATATACTGTTTAAAAGCTTACGAAAAGAAAGTTTAAAAGTACCTTTTGCTTAGCTAGATCTTGGCAACCGGTGAAGTTCTCAGGGAACTTGCAAGTGCCAAATTCCACAGTGTATGCTCTTGCAAAGTTGGCTCCAGTGGTGGCTAACCTTTTCTTGTCATTAAGTTCCTGTAGCAATTATCCATTAGAAACTAGTTGAATTCCGATGGCATGAAAAAGAGAAATTAAGGGTTTGAAAAGACCTTGTTGGTCTTGCTCTTTTCAAGGTATTCTTCAATTATTCCTGCATTGGCTGAAGAGTTGGAAGCAGCTGCTGCAGCAGTGAAAAGGGTAGCTGCTAAGTAGACAAGGGAACTTCTTCTTCCTTGGTTTGATTCAGATTCCGTAACCTTTGCTTGATGAGCCTTGATCACAGGCAACTTGAGAGCCGAAGCCTGTGGAGATGCAACAGAAGGCATGGAGGTGAGCTTGGCATTGAGGTCGGAGCATCCTGATCTGGCATAGTTACAGGCCAAGACACTGGAGTTCATGGCAGACATCGTGATGCAATTACTTTTCTGGTTTTGATCAAACTTCAAAAGAAAACCAGGTTGATTTGCAAGACCAAAAGCCAACTCAAATTGTGTGCTTCTTAATCCTAGTGGCTCTATTTTTTTGGTTTTTTTATTTTACTTTTGTTGTGTTGTTTGAGGCTGAGGATTTGTGATAAGGAGTGGATACGATAAGTGTAACGTAATTTAAGGTTGTGGTTGGAGTGTGGATAAGGTGCGATTGCCTCACTCCTTATTGGCATATCTTGCTTTTGTGACACTTCAGCTTCTCGTGGTTGGTATCTCTGGCCCCACTTCAAAATTCTCACCTCTTATCTAGTCTTCATGTATTTCAATTACTTTTATATATATATATATATATATATATAAATTAACTTACATAAATTAATTTTAAAATCTGAATATTATTTAAAAAACGTTTAAGAAGTTGTTTATATAGCAGATGTATAAAGAAGTGATTTGTTTTGTTAGGTTCCACAAAGTAATGGGGTTCTTCTATATTTTTAAACAGTATTGGGCTTAAAATCATGCCAGAAGCCCAAGACGAGCCCAAAGCAATTTATGATGTGGACAAACAAAAAGTTCCCCGGCCCATTTGTGCCTGCAAGAACCTCCATTATCATTTAACAGAAAGAAAGAGAAAGTGGGATTTTTGAAACCTATTGGGTGAAAAGAGTAATCCCGGTCACTGATACTCAAATTTATAAATAAGTTATATTTTTTATTTATGATAAAAAACTATTTTAGATAGTAATAAATTTTAGTTTATAAAATTATATCCTGGTTTATATATAATGATTAATTATTTGGATCTCTAAAATTATTAATTATTTAATAATATTTTTATAGTGATAGTATTACATCACTTATATTTGTTTACATAAATCTTTGTTTACTGGTTATCTCTTTCGAAGATTAAAGAGAGTTAGTATAAAACTTAACCCTTTTAATTGAATGAATTTTAAAACACTTTCAATTAACAACTTTACATCAGCGTAATCCGAATCAGGAATAGATAACATATTTTCAGCCCTAATAATTACTATTACTCATATATAAAGTGAAATAAAACAAAATGTTAAAAGGAAACATAATCCTAAACAATATCTATTTTAAAAACTTCTCTGAACCCATTTTTCAAAAAGCAAAAAGTTAAAGTATATTCACCAATTTAAATTAAACCCATTGCGATCTTAACCAATCAATTTGATCTGGCCGTGATTGCTTTAGACAATTAATCTCACTCATAGAACAAGTGGGATACATGCATAGAAACATACCTTACGAAAATAAATCTTACTTAATTAGTGAATTATTGTCATATTTAACTTGAACTTGCTTTTTCTTTATTTCTCTCTCTCTCTTCTATTTTATTTGTATGAATTTATTTTTGGCTTTCCCGGTTTTCTGGTTTTCTTACCCTCTGATTTGTTCTTACATAGTTCATAGCAAGAACATTCAATATATAACATATTACCCTAAAAATTTGCTACAACGCTGTAAAATGCTATGATCAAAGCATATGTCATGCGTTGAACTTCAACAGCAAATCAAAATCCAGCCACTTAGATGGTATATATGTATGTATGAGTTTTATGATACACCATTTCCCTTTTAGTGCATTTATTTGATTGGAACTTGATTAGTGGTTTCTGCATCAGCTTCCATTTATTTATCATTCATGCTCTATGAACTGGATAAAGTATGCAGCTTTCTGTTTTTCTTTACTTAGTTGTTAACAGCAACAGGACGTTTTCTTATTCACTTGTAGCATTTTGCAATCAAATCTAAATCCAAAGTGATTCTTAGATTACTGCCGCTAATTGAAGAACTGAGATTAAAGCAAGATCAATCGAATCTTGGTGGTTTAACTGTTTCTGAAATTTAAAAAGCATTGGTGTGAGCAGCAATGCCACTGGCAATAATCTTCTTGTGATTGTCCTACAAATTTTGTTGGCTGAGACAGATTAACGTGATGTTTAATCACCGTTTTATATGAATTTCAAATGAAACCCTTCCATTAAATAATGGACTAGAAATATTTGGTAGGTTGCTTTACGCACTAAAATATTGATATCAAATACTCTTTTCCACTTAATGTGTATTTTTTAATTGTATAAAAATGAAGTGGTGGAATGCATCTGCAAAATATTGCCGATCTGGTTCATTGGATTAAGCAATTATTGGTGAACTTCAGACTGAGAAAGAGTGTTCCATTTGTTTCATTCAACTTGGTTTTAGTTTATTAAACACTCGGTGTTTTAGTTAAGTGGAAATAATAATGATGAAAAAAGTTGGTGACCATAAAAAGTAAACACACGTGTTTTCTCTTATCTTGGTCTACAGTAATTCACTTTTACCTTTGAATTAAATTGCGTGAAAACACTAGAAATAAGAACTTGATAATATCATTGAAAAGAATGCAGTAACAAAAAATTAACTAGTATATCTTACATTTGAGGTCAAAACAAAGCAACAGAAAGTTTCAAAACATTATATCTGAGGATTGATTATGGTTGATCGGTTCTAATACTAGAGTAATTAGCTAGCATAGTTCCCTATAGTTACGCTCCAAAGCTTCATGTTCCAGTGGTTGGATCCTTACAATGGTCTGTGGCACTGGTGGCTGGGATCCAACAATTTTCTTACAAGTCTCAATGAGGCACTGTCTGCACTTGGGGCATGATGAGTGAGAGCTAAGCCATCTGTCAATGCAGCGAACGTGGAAACCATGGTTGCATTTTGGCAGAATGCGTAGCTTATCACCAGTGACAAACTCTGAGAGGCATATCACACACTCGGTGTCCAAACCTGGGAGTTTGAACTCTGTTGAGTAGCTGACGGTGGGAAAAGTCTTGAGGGCTTTCTTCTTGATTCCTGTGTTGGCCAAACGTGATGAAGAGTTGGTGACAGTTGAAGGGTCGTTGATGACTATGTTTGAGCATCTCAAGACACACTTTATGATAGAGTTCAAGCCGAGTGAGCAAATGACAGCACACAAGAGCACAGCGAGTATCATGACAACATTTGCATCGAAGTCACGACCTTTGAAATAGGAGTCTGTTGAGTTGTAAGTGATGGAATCTGAGGATTTGGGCAAGTCAGCTACGTTGATTGATTGATGAACTGGGTTTTGAAGGAGTAACTTTCTTGAGCTTGAGTCCATGAGAAGGTCATGAAGCAAATGTGAAGTAAAGGAAGCTGAAGCATACATGTTTGATGGTATCTTCAAGAAGAGTTAGTTTTTGGAGCTTGAGGTTGGTTATAGGTCTTAGGCAATTATAGCTATATATATAGAGAGAGACAGGGGAAGTTGGCACAGTAGGGTATAACATATGATTATGATATATCTAAGTAGTAGCTTTGTTTGATTAGAAAATGAAAGTATTTTTGTTGTTTGATGAGTGGGGATGGGTTTAGAATATTCCTAAGGGTTTTTGACAAGGAGTGAAAATTAGACTTTTTATCTTGGTTGTTAGAGATGATAGACTAGAAGCATATGATGATATATGGAACATCCACTGAGAGAGCCTTTTGTATATTATTTTATTTCCACTTTAGACCAAGTAAGATATGCCAAGTGTAACAGTGAGTCCATGAATGAGTTGTGAAGCTTGGTGAAGATGAATTGAAATAAGGTATCCTTCAAGATTTGATTCAATGTTCATATTTTAGGTCCTGAGAGAAAAAAGTGGCTAGCATATAAAAGAAGTTCAGTATATGGTTTTGTTTTCACTGGTCGATTTTCTTTGAACCAAATCTTGTTCAAAACTGATCTGAAAAAAGTTAAAAAATCTCTATTTATTTTATTACAAAACTTTAATTAAATTTTACAATATAAAATTTTAATTAATTTTTAAAAATGATATTTTCAAACACATGAAAAGAAGCATGGAGTTTAGTTAAAATATTATTAGATTAATTATAATAAAATTCACACTAATTCTTTTATAATTACTAAATATTATATATATATATATATATATAATTAAAGAGAAATAAATAATTGATATAATTTAAATCATAAATTAGAAAAAAGAAAATAAATAAACAATATATAATAAAAAAATTCATAAACTTATTTTTTATAAGTTTATTACTTTATGTCTGAAATTTTTACATAATAAAATTAAATAACTATTTTATATATTTTAAAATTATATTTAACTAATAAGAAAAATTAAATATGTTTAGCTGCTAAGAAAAAATAAATATTTTAGTCTAGTTAAGAATTCAACCTCCTATTATTACTTAATTGTCCTAAATAAACCACTAAATTTATTAAAAGAATTTATAAAATCTATGTTAATTGTGATATATTAATTGTTAATTGCATTTTTTATAATAAAATGAATAGTTTCTTTAAAAAGAAATTCATAGATTGATTTGGCTCTACGGAGATATTTTGGTCAAGTGAATTTTTTTAATTGAAAACTTTTTTATTTATAAATTTTTCTGACATTTAGACGAAGCCAAATCAAAACGAAATTGACAAGTCTAATCTATATTTTCCTTCAAAATTTAACCGACAAAATATCTAATAAACTAATCTTATTATGTTTAACATAGATGCTCCATGTGGAACTGACAGCTGATTTAATTTAATGCTGTCATTGTGGATGTGGCAGATGTTGGAGAAACCTCGTGTCTGGCTGGTCCTTTTAAGTTACACCATAACCCAAAAAGTGCAATATCTAAAGGGGATTGATTTTAGATATGATTATATGATACACAACATTTTATATACACTCCTCCACTCTGTAGGGCAAATATTAATGTCGGATTTCTGTCTACATTATACTCAATTATAGACACATGGAAAGGATACAAAGAAATAAGAACCAAATTTGATTTCAAACATGAAAACTAGTTTTGTCACCCAAACTTCCCAATTAAGAAAAGTGAAATATTTTTTCAAATTTTACCAATATAGAACTTGTATAGTTTCTAAAACAGCTGCACATTTTTTTCAAACTTTTCAAATATACATAGTTGTCTAATTTTATTTTTTTTTACTAAAAAACTAATCACTTCCACCATATCCTTTTTTCAGACTTTAAAACT